GGGGGGGAGAGGTAGAGGGAGGGGAGGCAGGGAGGATGCCGGACGCGCTTCCAGGAATAAGCGACTGGAGAAGGTGTGCGGGGAACCATTTCATACTGCATTCCGCGAGACCGACCGACCGACCGCCAGGGGCCTCCTGGTGGAGAGCCTGCAATACCTCCGCTGGAGCTCGCACCAACTGCGGAGCAGTCTCCAGGGAACACAACACAAAGCAAAAGCCACAGCTCACAAGATATAACAAGCGACAACCATAGTGTGTGTGTGTGTGTGTGTGTGTGTCGACGCGGCCGCGGCGTGGTTAGGAAGGGGTTTGTGGGGGGGGGGGGCAGGACGGTGACAAATTCACGACATAGCAGCAGCAGCAGTAGTGCCTGCGCTGAGATTGTGTTTGCGGCCGCCTATGCCGCCATCTGCCATCCGCCCGGCACACACACACACACACACACACACCCTACTGCCCTGACCCCCCCCCCCCCTTCTGCCGATTCGTCCTACGCGTCTCCGTCTCTCTTTCTCTACTCGCCCAGCAGCAGCAGAAGCAGAGCAGCGGGCCCAGCCAAGCCTTGTTGAATCAACTATATCAACTAACTGGGCTTGGTCCCGCCTGGAGCGAAGCCCTATCGACCGCCCAGCAGCCCCCCAGACACACAAGAGAGTGAGAGAGAACACACACACACACACACACACACGAACATACATCTGGTATATAACTCATGAACGTGTGCACCATCACGGCAGCTGTTAACTTATCGTGCCGATATACGCGTCCATGAGATGTGCGTGCGTGTGTGTGTGTGCGAGCGTGCGTCTGTGTGTTTTGGAGCAAAGTTAGTTGTAGTATCCGCTCTGCAAAGTCGCTTCGACGTAACGCAAGATTAGAGCGATAGCAGCAGCCTGGCAACAGCACCCGCCTCTGCTGCATGGCGGCGGCGCGCGGGGAAGGTGCGGAGAGAGAGAAAGAGAGTGAGTGAGTGAGTGAGAGAGAAAAAGAGAGAGAGAGAAGGGGCTTCGAGGAATAGACGTTTGATTCATAGCTCGCCACCGAAACTGGAGCAAATTCACGAAACGGAAGAGAGAAAGAGAGAGGGGGGGGGGCAGAGTGAGAGCAAGAGAGAGGAAGAAGAAGAGCGAGATAGGCGAAAAGTGAGAGGGGAGACACTCGAGGGAGACAGAGGAGAGACAGGGAGAGAGAGAGAGACTTGGGTGCGCCCCCCCCCCCCCAAAACGCCCTCAACAAGACGTGCAAAAGTTGAGCTCGGCCGCGGAGAGGCGCCATTTCTCTTGGCCGACAGGCGTCGGATCAAAAGAATCCAAACCTACCCTCCCTCCCTCCCTCCCTCCCTCTCTCTCTCCCGGTGATAAAGTGCCCGCTGTGTGCGAATTGCAACGCGAATCGCCAAATTTACGACAGCCGTCGTCGCTTACTCTCATCCTGCAGCATCTTCTTCATCTTCTTCTTCTTCTTGTTACGTCTCGTTGTCAGTCTCGCTCTCTCTCACTCGATCGACACACGTTCTCACCTGAAACGAGAGAGAGAAACGTTAGGCAAACGTTGGTAAGGTAGAAGGAAAAGGGCAGTATGTGAGAGAGTGAGTGTGTGTCAGTAGCGCCCTGTATAGGGGAAGCGGGCTCGCTGGGGAAAAGGGCGGGCGGGAGAGGGTTCTCGCTGCTGCGGCAGGCTGGAAACAAAGAACGCCCAAAACAAATACAAACAAACACACACACACACACACACACACACGCGCGCGCGCGGGCGCGCCGCTAAGCGCCCCCCGGCTCACGTGGCGGACTCGACATTCTGTTTTGAACGGTTTAACCGTGAGCACCGAGCAATAGCAGCAAAAGCAGCAGCAGCAGCACACGCCGGGAGCTTAGAGGCCGCCGCCGCCGGGAATCATCGCGACCGTAAATCTTCATTAATTCGACCCAAACTGCCCCATTTTTGTTGCGCTCCCCGTTGCTGCCCCCTCCCTCCTCGGCGCGTTCCTTTTTGCTGTTACTGGCGCGTTTAGGGTGCCATGCGCAACAACCACCCTCTTCTCTGAACTTCCTCTCTCTCTTTCTCTCTCGCTTTCAAACCCCCTGCCTGCACGGCCTACAAGTCAGCATCGCACACTCCACTTGACCCCCCCCCCCTCTCTGTTGACCCCTATACAGAGAGACGAGAATGTGAACAACATTTGATTACGTACATCTCCTTGCTTCCGCACGCTATCAGAGTGCAGGTTCTTAATAGTTTCGCTGTAGCAGCAGCTGTAGTCCTCTATTCTATCCGTGTGTCTAACACAGCCACGCTCAGAGTATGATGAAAGCGTTCGAGATGAGCTGCAACTCCTGGTGATGCGCTCCCTTCTACCCCGGTGCATGGTGTCGGCAAACGCCGTATTAAGATACAGAGAAGGATGGGGAGGGGGGGCTGCCCCCTAAAAACGTTCAGGAAATTAAAAAAGACGTCACGACCATACAGGAACACTATTCGTTCGTTTCCAGTTGAACTGAAACGGCAGCAGCAGCACGCCAATGGGGGGCGGTGGGAGGGTGGTAGTGGTGGGTTAGAAATTTTCGAAAAATTCCCAAAAATTTCCGGATAGTAAACGGAAAACTTCCATAGACTAGGGAAATTTTCCGTTTTTCCGGAATTTTTCCTGAACTTTTCCGTAAATTTTCCATAGGGCTTTCAACCCCAGGATAGGGTGTGGCATGTTTCTCATCACGGCGGCCTATGGTAGCGAACGGAGCGGCGACGAATACACAAGCGCACACATTAGCGCCGTGTTTATATGGCAAATAAAACCGGCCGCCGCGTTGGTAAATGGAAGGGAAGTCCCGTGGGGGGGGGGGGGAGAGACTTGAGGACCAGTTTCAGGACCCGTTTCCTCGCGGATCGGCTCCTCTGCAGCGGCTGGCGGGTCATGGACCCTGCTGCTGCCGGGGACACGTGCACTGTGTGATAAGGACGGCACTAGTGACGCACAGTGAGCGGCGGGAGATTTAAAAAAAGAGAACGGCTTTGGGCGCGTAACTCACGCGCTTAAAAAACTTTCAAATCTAGCGCGCGCGCGAAAAACTTACTGAGAGCTAGCTATGAAAAGAATGACGACCGATTCTGCAGCTGAAGCTCACGAAATATATCGAGGGGGCCACCACTCGCATAATCCTGTGTACAGATGAGGGTGTAATCCTTACGTAATTCTCATGAATTCCGTGTAATACTTGACCAAATTTTAAACCATTATCACTAGATTTCATCTTATTGTCCAAATTTAATGGTTTTAGAGCCAGGAGTTCAACAAAATTTATCTGTAATCCCTCAAAATCCCCGTGTAATCCCCGTAATCACGTAATCCTGTGTACATCCTAAATTGAAGTAGTGGCCCCCTCGAAATATATAAAGAAACATCAATGCACCCACCTTGCACTTTTTTTTCGTCACTGTCTATACCTGCTGACCTGCTGTCTAACCCGCAAAATACGGTCTACACTTCACTCAATTTGCCTGTTAACTACTGAAGTTTTGTGATGTGGTTAACTTAACAAGACATTCTTGAGAAGTACAAAACTGTCTTCCAGTATTGTGTACTAATAGCTTTCCTTAAACCGGCCTCACTGGGAAAACGTTTTAGTATGGTAATACTAGAGAGTTTCTTAATAAGTTGCATCACAAAACTACTAGTAGTCACTAAGCAAATTTTCTAGGAGCAAGATTAGATAGTGCTGGGGTTTCTTCCAATGAAATGAGAATTAAGTGCAATGGTTTCCTCATGCTATCGGTATTGTTCTTTTCTATGAGCCCCGCTGTGTTAGGTTTGTTGTTTGGAGCTGCGTCAGCGTCGTCTTGTCAATACTTATCACCGGACCTTCGATCTCGTGCTAAAGCACAGAACGCAAAGTTTTCAAACCATTCCCAGGCTAGATTCACGTTGTAGTTACCGACACCCCAGTCTCCCCCAAAAACCCTCTCCAGAGAAAGTGTAAATTTACATACAAATCGCCTTCATTCGGAAGAGGAAGGAGAAAGAGTAATACGATTGACTCATTTGTGCTGTATTTGTCACATATTTTGCAGTATTCTCAACACACACGAGTCACATAACTATACATGAGTAAATTGGTAAAATTACAATAAAACATTTGCATGATACACCAAGGACAATTGTCTTAAAACTCATGCAAGTTACACAAAGTACAAAAACGGAGATAAACGCACATCAAATTACATTTCCTAAGACAATGAAAACATTAAAGGGTACGTAAGTCGTATCCAATTACATAATTAAAATAAAAAGAAAACTTTAAAAATATGAACAATTAGTAAGATGACAAGAAGAAGACAATATTAGGAACCTTTTAAAATTTTATTTAAAAAAAAACAAAAAACAATCACACATTTCCTTTTTTTCTTAAAACCACCAATCAGAAAAAGAATGAGTACTAGCATTTTTTTTATCCAGAAAGCCACTACAAGAGAACTACTTATTTCAATTGTTTGATACGACTGCATCATTAAATACAATTAATTGCCAATGGCCTCTCCTCCTTTGGGGGAAAATATTCCCTTTCATACAACGACGGCAATATTATTTGTGTTCACAAAACATTACACATGCGCGCACGCAGCTTGCTTACACAGCCTGTAAATGGGTCTTGAGATGATTACGCAGAGTAAAACCTCGCGAAAACGTCTTGCTGCACACGGTGCACTCGAACGGCTTCTCCCCAGTGTGGATTTGCTGATGCAGACGTAAATAACCTTTTGAAGCAAATTTGTTGTTGCACAAAGTACACTCAAACTCCAACTTCTCGCCTCTGTGCTTACGCATATGCTCCCGAAAAATATTACTGTGCGTAAATTTCATGTCACACTCCGTGCACTGGAACGGCTTCTCCCCAGTGTGGATTCGCATATGTATACGCAAATAGCTTGAAGCGTATTTCTGATTGCACACCGTACACTCAGCCGACTTTACTCCCGTGTGAGTTGCCAGATGTGTGTGCAGTCCGCTGCTCTGGGCGAATTTCTTGTTGCACAAAGCACACTCGAACGGTTTTTCCCCGATATGGGTTCTCAGATGTGCTCGGAGATGATCGCTTCGGTAAAACTTCTTGTCACACTGATCGCATGAGAAGAGCTTCTCACCTATATTTCCTGTGTGGATTCGAAGGTGCGATCGCAGACCTGTACGATCAGCAAACTTTTTATCGCACACAGTACACTCATACGGTTTCTCCCCTGTGTGGGTTCGCATATGACCTTTTAGTGGTCCTGCTCGACTAAATTTCCTTCCACACTCCTTGCACTCGAAAGGCTTTTCTCCTGTGTGGATGCGAAGATGGACACGTAAATAACCACCTTGAGAAAATTTCTTCTTACAGACAGTGCACTCAAACAGCTTCTCTCCTGTATGGGTTCGATGGTGCGTACGTAGATGAGTACTTTGGGTAAATTTCTTGTTGCACACGGTGCATTCGTACGGCCTCTCTCCTGTGTGAGTCAGAACGTGCAACTGCAGGTAGCTACTTTGTGCAAATTTCTTACCGCACTCCGTACACGCAAAGGGCTTCTCTCCGGTATGGACGCGGTCATGCGTTCGCAGTTCGCCACTCGTCGCAAACTTCTTGTGGCAGACGTGACATTGGTGCGGTTTCAGTCCGGTGGTGTGGGTCCTCCTCAGATGGCTGCGCAGTCCTTCACGCCACGCAAATTTCTTGTTGCACACGGAACACTCGAACGGCTTTTCCCCGCTGTGGGTTTTGAGATGTGACTGGAGATGATGGCTTCGGGAAAATGTCTTATCGCACTCAGTACAACTGAAGGCCTTCTCGCCAGTGTGGACTCGCAGGTGGGTTCTGAGAGTTGAATCAATAGCAAACTTCTTGTTGCACACCGTACACTCATAAGGTTTCTCTCCCGTGTGTGTTCGGAGATGACATTCCAGAGACCGTTTAAAACTGAATTTTTTGTTGCACACGGTGCACTCGTGGGGCTTCTGCCGTTGCTCGCCGGTGTGGGTGCGGATATGACCACGCAATGAACCATAGTGCGTGAATTTCTCAGTGCACATGGTACACTCGTAGGGCGTCTCTCCCGTGTGAGTACGCATGTGCGCCTTCAGATAATCACTTCGCGAAAACTTCTTGTGACACACCAGGCACTCGGGCCTCTCTTCTGTGTGGGTGGAGAGGTGCTTCTTAAGACTACCGATATTCTTGAATTTCTTGTTGCACACGGCGCATTCCGAAGGCGGCTCCACTGAGTGGGTTTGGCGGACATGATGGAGTAGTCCAGCGCCTGACCGAAATATTTTAGCGCACACAGTGCACTGGAGACACTCTTCTCCTCCCGCATCCGTCGTCGCATCTTCGGGCCCGCTGTCCTGACTGCTAGCGAAAGTCAGACTGTCACCGTCACACTCAACCGACATCTTCGACGAGGACACGAAAATTCTGGAAAAAGCAGAGGAAAAGTATCGTCAAACTCTATATTGTATCACTAATTGTGTCGCCAAGTACCCAAAATGAAATGGAGACGGGCGGGCACGTTCCCTTTTCTTTTTTGTAGAGACAGTTTTGGGGACTGTCTACAATCTAGTCTTTTTAAAGCGACCAAAAACCTTGGGCCAATAGTGGCTCGCGGTTAGTCAAGTCAAGAAGGGGCGTAGGTGTGGGCAAAGCGCATAGGTTGCGAGGGAGTCGCGAGGGGTGAGTTGGAGACGGGGTGGGGGTGAAGAGCGCTAAAAAGAAAAGCAGGGTGACAAATTCCGCTTTAATTGGAGTTGGACCTGTCGTGTAATGGGGCTGTGTGAGCGTGACGTCAGGATGCACACGCACTCCCCCCCCCCCCCCCTCTGTTTGCATTAGCGGCCGCATTAGAATTGCACCCGAGCAACGTCTGCGAGGGTGCACCTCCATCGCCTGGGCACATTCAGTCGTATATTGGAAAAAGCGAAACAACTGGGAGTGTGGTTTGTGTGCTACTTAAAATGGCAAGCCCACCAACACAAACAATACAAAAAAAAACCTCATAAAACACGAAAAAACTTTTTAAAAACACCTTTTATAACAAATCTTAAATCTTTAAAAAGGCACAGTTTAAACATTGCAGTTATCTAGAACGCTTACAAATGTATACTTCGTTTCTTGGCTATTGATTTTCAAATTAATAAATTCAAAATGGAATTGAGGTAGACTTTGCCTTGGTCACCTTCGGTGGGCGCGGCGCCACGCTGACCCC